AGTTGCATCATTTTGATTGCATTAGTCAGATCTGATTACATTAACTATGTTTAAAAACTACATTGTAACAGTCATGAGATCTATATGTGATTATAATAAAATATTTGTAACATAAAATTTACCATCTTAACCAATTGTTAAGTGTACAGTTCAGTATTGTTAAGTGCATTTGAATTGTTATTCAAGCAATTTTCATAACTCTTCATCTTGCAAAGAGGAAACTATCTCCATCACACAAAAACACCCTAATTTTTTCCTTTCTCACCTAATTCCTTATGGCAACCTCCATTCTTTCTTTCTCTATGAATTAGAGAGCTTTAGGTACCTCATATAAATACTGGAGTCCTGCAATATTTATCGTTTTGTAACTGGCTTATTTCACTTAACAATGTCTTCAAGGTTCATCCATGTTGTAGCATATATTAAATTACCTTACTTTTTAAGGTGGAATAATATTCCATTGTATGCGATACCACATTTTATTTACCCTTTCATCTATCAATGAACCCATGGATTGCTTCCACCTTTTGGCTGTTGTGAAAGTGCTGCTATGAACTAAGTGTGCAAATATCTCTACAAGACTGTGCTTTCAATTCTTTTGGGTATTTACCCAGAAGTAGTATTGCTAGATCATATAGTAATTCTATTTTTAATTTTTCAGGGAGCGTGGGATACCTTTTCCTAAAAATTATTATCTATAAATTTATAAGTTTTCAGAACTTTTTATAAATGACTAGATACTGTAGTAGATGCTTGTGCAATGGTATACTGATTTGGAAATTTGCTTATCAAATGAAGGCAAGCATGTGAGTGGGTCCCAAGTCTGGGTCTGACCCCTACCTCCAGGGCTGGTTTTCCTTCAGTGTCAGAGCTCACCCCCATGTACTGACCACTAAACTCCGTACATACAGGTTGGCAGGTTTAGAATGAGAAGTTGACCCCTTTTGGTTAAACTCATTTTAATTCTTGCTAAATAGAAATCACTCACTTTATCTATGGTTCCTCTTCATTCTGCATTAAAGATACAAGCTCTCACTTAGTAGTGAAATGTAATATGAATCCCTTCTGGCTAGTCTTTGTACATGTTGTTCCTTCTTAGTGTGTTTGGATCTACTTCTAATATCATTTATTTACTGATTTTCTGAGAAATGTTCAGAGCTTACTATCACTTTCCCTATATTCTCTATGAACATATTAGATCTGTTTACATTATGATAAACTTGCCATATTAGTACATAGTTTATGCTCTGATTACTTTAAAGTGTATAATAAATCAGCGTCATCTTTATTTATTATGTGTTTATTATGCGTGTAATTATACATGACATTGAGTTCAGCTCCCAGTTATCTGAAGTGTCCATGCTTTAACTCAAAGAGAAACTGCTCTTTCTTTCTCTTTTTGTTTTTTTCTTTTTTACTTTTCCCTCCCTCCTTCCCTCCCTTCCGTTCCCCTCCCCTTCCTTCCTTGTTCCTTTCTTTCTTTCTGTAAACCATGGTCTTTGTTCTTTTTCTGATGAAGCTTAAAGTTACTGTCATAGCATCAATGAACTTGATTCACATTTTAGTTTCAACCATATTTATTTCTATCCATTCCTTATATTAATTGATGAAGTAATTTGATACAGCTCAAGAAAATGAGCACAAGAAATTTGTAGCTCAAGAAATTTGTGCACAAATGACACAAATAAAGTAACTAAAACATTCATTCGTTCTCATTGTTATCACTCAGGTGTTGATGTAGCTAATGAAGTATAATCATAATTAATACTAATGGAGCAAATTTATTGTGCAAGCCTTGCATTTAGGATTAAACTGGAAAAATAAGTAACTGAAGACAATTTAGGTATTTGTTGAGATATCTAGAATTTTTGTTGTAAAGAGCTAATATATTTCCAAATATCAATTCATATATATGAGGCACATATTATTTTCTAGGCAACTCAACACCTGTGGCATTCACTATGTGAGAATATTGCTACCCTAAATACCAGATACTTATTTAATATGCAAATAATATGTAATGCATAAATATGTACTAGTGAATTTAACCCTATAATTAGTTTTTACCTGTGAAATATTTACTCTTTGTGTATCATATAAAATATTAAAAATGCCAATTTTTACTAAGTAACCAGTGAATACACTGTATATTAAAATTTAAAGTGAATGGTTGTATATCTGTTAAAGGAATAGAGTGAGTTTTAAAGACTAGGCAATATAAATTATTCTATTTCTTTTTAATCATTGAAGAAATCTAAAATTTTGAGTTTCATTTTCAGTAGGACCTATGTTGTTTTCCTCCTTGTTAGTACCACAATTTTTTTAAAATAATAATCTTAAAATTAAAACTCTTTTAATTAACCTTTTTAATTTTTACTCTAGTTTCTAATATGAAGCAATGTAATATTATTTTTATTAATGGACCTTTTATTACAAGATGTTGCTTTCTTCATTGCTTATTCTCATTTCTTGTTGTTTTCTATCTCATTCTTTTTCCCCCTCTTCCAATATGATTTGCGAGTCAGGATTAATTCATTCTGTGCTCATTTAAGCAGGGGAGGATAGATAGGTTTGCCAAGAACTTTGGTTATTTTCTCTACAGTTTTGTCGTTCATTCTGTTATCAAATCTTATGCCTTGAAATCTGAGATATTATTATCTGTATTGCCCCCTTGACCAAAAACAGCCTTTGGCCATCCAGGAATGTTCTAATATTTATAGAGAACCCTCATTTTGAGGGGATTCCATTAAAAACTGAGATAAGAGGTTTTATATATATGTAATATGTATATAGTGTATATTATATATAAAATCTCTTATCAAATATATATATCTATATGTATTTGTTCAAATTGGGCTTGTCATCTCTGGTGACTGAGTTACGGTTTTCAAAATGTGCTTTTAAAATTAGATATTCTTTTTTTTTTTTTTTGAGACAAGAGTCTCGTCCCATCGCCAGGTGCCAGGCTGGAGTGAAGTGGTGTGATCTAGCCACCACCTCCTGGTTTCAAGCAATTCTCCTGCCTCAGCCTCCTGAGTATCTGGGACTACAGGCGCACGCCACCACGCCCAGCTAATTTTTTTTGTATTTTAGTAGAGACGGGGTTTCACCATGTTGGCAAGGATGGCCTTGATCTATTGACCTTGTGATCCACCAGCCTTGGCCTCCTAAAGTGCTGGGATTACAGGTGTGAGCCACCGCGCCTGGCCAAAATTAGATATTCTTTATATAAGTATTTTCCATTTATTCCCATAATTGCACACACACAAAATAATTTATTTTTAGGAAAAATACAGATTTACGAAACGTACTCAGTGAGCACCTACCTTAAAATTACAGCTTTCTCTCCCCCACCCAAATTCTCATACTTCTATCATCCAGATACTAACCAGGAATATTCTTAATTGGTTTCTGAGATCAGACCATATCAGGAACCTTTTGGGTGGTAAGGCCATAGACATCCTCTCATACTTCTTATCTTGCTATACTTTCTATTTTTCCATTGAATTGATGACTTTCTAACATTTTATGATTTAATTATTTATTTTGTTTATTGTTCCTTCTCTGGCTACTCATCGGTAGAATGCAAGCATCAGGAGGACAAGGTTATTTGCTATTTTTCTGAATGATGCATACCAAGCAGGTAGAGAGCCTAGTGGAGAGAAAACACTGAATATCTGTTGAAGAAATGGATAAATACATTTTGTGGCTAGAAAACAGCAAATGTAGTACCTATTTTGAACTAAATCTGTGCTTCAAAATGTATTTTTTTTTGGTTTGTCTTTATGCTACCTAATTTGAAGACTATTATTGTTAATGTATTGATAAGGCAGAAAACAGATTTTTCCACCAACTATACCAGCAGTTTCATGTATTCAAGTTGTAGTTCTATGGACATTCCATGACATTCTATGTATTCCTTAACACTAGTAACAGAGTTCCGTAAATTAACAAATTGTATGTTCAGTGATAATTGATAACATTTGATACTTTCCATGGTGTTCTAATTGTAGATATCTTTGCCTTCTAGTTTGAAATATCTAATAAGCAATTGACTCTATTAAGACTTTAGTTGTAGCGGTCAACTTTTGTGAAAGGGTGAAAGGCAAGAATTGTATTTAAAAATGTCTTACAATTTTTAAAACCATTTATATATTTTGATATTTGTTTGTTTGTTTTTAGAAGCTCAGGGCCGAAACATAAGTCCATGAACATGTAGTTCCCCATAAAGTGTCATAGGCCAATAGTCTGACCTAATATTTGCATTCAGCTGTTAAGGAAAGAGATTGCATTTCCCCTGATTATCTGGGCTGAGAGCAGTGTGTTGAGGTAAAAAGCCTCATTAAATAAGGCCATATTTCCTTGGGAAAGAGAAAACCATTGCTAATTCTACTATATAGTAGTCTTTACACAGCCAGTGTAATTATGGAGAAAGAATTCAGTAGGCTAAGGAAGAATAGTAATACCATATTATCAGATTTTCCTTTCAAAAAGAAATTCATAACAAAAAATAGTGCTACATTTGTTCAGAGAATTTGAATCCAAATTTTCTATGAATAAAATCATGATTTTATTGAAGGACTATGGAGCAATTTTTATAACTATGATTCAGAACAAATTATATATTACTTGTAGCAGCACATCAGATCCAGATTTTTAGTGTTAATTTTTAATTTTGGATTTTTTTCAGCTCTATTTAATGAGGAATTACTACTTGTAGTTTAATTTTGTTTTAAAGGACAATTAATTTCTGTTGACCCTGACTCATGGGGATGTACTGTTTCATAGTTATTTTTTGTCCTTCCCTGTCTACTAGAATAACGTTCTATGTTCATGGCTATTACTGTGTGCACTCATGAGAAACACTCAAGTACACTCATTTGATACAAATAACTTTTTATAATTAACAAATCAGAAGTATGGTCTGAGAAGACATCTATTCTCCTTTAGAAACTGATGTATTTATAAGCATATATGTTCACATATTTTTGCTGTTGTAGATTGAAAAACATGACAATTGTGTTTATGACCATCTGGAAGTTAGAGATGGAACCAGTGAAAATAGCCCATTGATAGGGCGTTTCTGTGGTCATGAGAAACCTGAAGATATAAGATCTACCTCCAACACTTTGTGGATGAAGTTTTTTTCGGATGGAACTGTGAACAAAGCAGGGTTTGCTGCTAACTTTTTTAAAGGTAATTTGAAATAATTTTCAAATGTGAGATTTTCTTTATCAAGGATAAATGTGGTGTTTAGCTTTGAGTTAGGGGAGAACTAGAGAAAGTTGGATTTAAAGTTGAATATGAATAAGGACATTTTGGAGAGTTTTGATAGAAATGGTTATTAATAAAATACTAGAGTTTAGAATTGTAGCACAGGGTAGGAACTCCATTAGGACATTCAACCATCTGTTTTTTATGAAACAGTCAAAACAGCAAGTTCTAGGAAGGGTTATACAGACAGAAAGACAATATTTACAATTCAAATAACCAACCAAGAATTCATGAACAGAAGAAGGTTACTGACATGAAGTTTATCTATTTGTTTCCAGGCGTCAGCATTACTTTCTTTCAGACTAGTGTTCCCCAACATTGGAAATAATATGGCCTCCTTGCAGAATATTCTGATATCTAAAACGTCTTTTTGACAAATGATTATCTCTGATCATCTTTGATTTTGAATTGCATAACTGCATTTCAGTTTATTCTTATGTCCCATATTTGGCTTGTATTGTGAGTTGGAAAGAAAGCAAATACTTTAGTGAAAATATTAACACCACATGTGCATTTAGGAAATTAACAGACACGTTGTGTGTCACTGTAGAATACAATTTTTCTATGGGAAGAGAAAACAAAATTTTCCTCCATATTGATTTTTATATGATAAATGACATAGGATAGCATAAGTGATTCAATTGTATATGGCAGTACTTAGAGTTATGGATATGTAAATATTGCCATAATTTAAAGAAGAACAGTATAATGGATTTTCCCTGGGAGCTATTTTATTCATCATATGAATTGAAAGATAAGAAAACTTGGTACTTTTACTACAGGTATTAAAAGAATTCATTAAAATCTCCATTTATATGTTTGAAATTTTCTGTAGTTATATATTTCATAGAAAAATATGCTATCAAGCTTCTTTCATGTGATATTCATATATTTACTTATTAAAAATGTCTCACTGGTGCATAATTTCTTCAGAGAATGTTTACTATTTGTGTAATTATGGAGTATTCTGTCATATACATTTTTTAAAATAGTATATATTATATATATACTTTATGTATATTTTTGTGTTTCAATATACAATTATACAGTACGTATATTAAAATATGGGGTTATCATATTTTCTGGAGCAAAATGTCTATATAAGAAACACAATATTTTAGATTTAAAGAGATCCAGTCAATTTCTAAGTTTTATATCTTTTAAATTTATATTCAGTACAGTCTATTTCTTAATAATGATATTTCTTTAAAGTATTTTTGCAGATATATCTATCAAGCTATAATGTAAAATCAGTGTTGCCAAAGCTATGCTTCTCAGTAAGTTTTTAAATTTCATTCTGAAAAAAAGTCTAGGCTTCATTATCCTCATTTGACTTCAAATTCAGAAAAACACACACTGTACCTGAAATAAGGTGATCTTCAGTTGTCCCAGCTGTAGTTATCTAGGACTTCTCTGGGTTATTTGACAATGTTTAGGTGGCAGCAACATGAATTTTTTGTACATTATCCATCAGGGGTTTATGTGTTGTTCCTGCTCCTTTGTTGATGGAAGCAATGAATTGTTTCCATTTCATTTGGAACCATTAAGTGTGGTAGTTTTTTAGAAATATTTATACCCATATATATATGTATATAGGTATACATATACATATGTATGTTTGTATATGTATAGTTGTTCTGTGACTATGGCCATTTTCATAGAGGAAGATGAGTGTGCCAAACCTGACCGTGGAGGCTGTGAGCAGCGATGTCTGAATACCCTGGGCAGTTACCAGTGCACCTGTGAGCCCGGCTATGAGCTGGGCCCTGACAGGAGGAGCTGTGAAGGTATGGCTGCACTCCTTTCTGGACCTCCACCCTCCACAGCTTTTTATTTCTTTCTTACATTCTCATTCTCTCTCTGTCTTCCCGTTTCCTTCCCTTTTTCCTATAGCGACCTCTTTTCTCAATTAGTAAGACACAATTCATAGTCACAGCTGACGTGAAACCTTACCTGGGTTCATGTTATAGAATCAGCCCTTTCCTCCTTTGATTACCAGGCCACCTTGTTTATATATGCATAACACAAACTGTATTAGTCCATCCTCATGCTGCTTATACAGACATATTAGCATATTTATTATGCTAAAAAAGACATACATAAGATTTGGTAATTTATATTGGAGAGAGGTTTAATAGGATCACAGTTCCACATAGCTGAGGAGGCCTTACAATCATGGAAAAGACTAAGGAAGAGTAAGGGTGCGTCCTATATGGCGGCGGGCCAGAGAGTGTGTGCATGGGAACTCCCCTTTATAAAACCATCAGATCTCTTAAGACTTTCTCATTACCATGAGAACAGCATGGAAAAGACCTACCCAGTGATTCAGGTAGCTCCTCCCTGGTCCCGCCCATGACATGTGAGAATTATGGGAGCTGCAATTCAAGATGAGATTTGGGTGGAGACATAGCCAAACCATTTCATACAAAAACGCATATATAAATAAATTTATCTATATCTGTTTCTATCTAGATTCATCAATGCCTAGATCTGCATCTAGACCTAGATTTATATCCATCCTTCCATTCATCCATCCATCCATCCACAGGCCATTGTGTTTGTATATATTAATATATCTATAACTATCTCTGTCTTGATCTAGATTTTTATTTATCTATCCATCCTACCATCATTCATTCATCCATCTGTCATATCAGACCTCTCTGTATGTTAATATATCTAGATCTATTTCTGTCTCTATGTAGATCTAGATCTTTATCCATCTGTCTATCTATTCATCCTTCCATTTCTCCATCTATTCATCTGTCCATCCACCATTTGTTTTATCTTCTTCTTAGCATAGTCTATAGATATGTCTCCCTTATTAAAATGAGAAGTCTTGAGTCAGAGTCATCTTTGTATCTGTAACATCTAACACAGTCAGACATAAAGCAGGAGATCAATATGTGTTTTATGAATAAATGATTGATTTTTAAAGACAGTTTTGTCATGGTGATCTGCATTTCCTCTTTACATTCTAAGATGACGTTTCTTGTACAACGTTTTGTTACCATTGCCTATTATCTCTTCCTTCAGATTTTAAAGTTCACTCATTTTTATTTTCCCTGCCTCTATCTTATTACAGCACCCATACCTCTATTACAGCAGAATGAATTGGAAGACCTTTTTTCCTCGAGCCTATTCCTCCTTTATTCCTCTTTTAAAATTTCTGCAAAATTCATCTTCATAGAATGTGTAGCAGTTTACCGTTATTTATATTTATGTATTTATTGGTTTACTGTTGGTATCTCCCACCAAAATGTTAGTCCTCTGAAAATGAGCACCTGTTCTCTACTGTACCTATAATAGAGGATATAATAAGTGGCAAAAGGGAAATAATTATTTGCTTAATGCACACACCCCTGCTGACCTATTTAGCAAAAATAAGAGACCCCCTGTTTTTTCTTAAAAGTTTTTTGGGCCGGGCGTGGTGGCTCAAGCCTGTAATCCCAGCACTTTGGGAGGCCGAGGCGGGTGGATCACGAGGTCAAGAGATCGAGACCATCCTGGTCAACATGGTGAAACCCCCGTCTCTACTAAAAATACAAAAAATTAGCTGGGCGTGGTGGTGCGTGCCTGTAATCCCAGCTACTCAGGAGGCTGAGGCAGGAGAATTGCCTGAACCCAGGAGGCGGAGGTTGCGGTGAGCCGAGATCGCGCCATTGCACTCCAGCCTGGGTAACAAGAGCGAAACTCCGTCTCAAAAAAAAAAAGGAAAAAAAAAAAAAAAAAAAAAGTTTTTTGGCTTCCAGAAGTCTCCATACCACCTACTAAACTACTTATCTTCCCCTTTACTAGAATTAAAAAGTCCTAGTGATGAAGTGGTATATTTTTAACTTTTTTTTTTTTTGAGACCGATTTTCACTCATTACCCAGGCTGGAGTGCAATGGCGCAATCTCGGCTCATGGCAACCTCCGTCTCCTGGGTTCAAGCAATTCTCCTGCCTCAGCCTCCCGAGTAGCTGGGACTACAGGCATGTGCCACCATGCCCAGCTAATTTTTGTATTTTTTGTAGAGACGAGATTTCACCATGTTGGCAAGGATGGTCTCGATCTCTTGACCTCGTGATCCACCTGCCTCGGCCTCCCAAAGTGCTGGGGTTATAGACGTGAGCCACCGCGCTCGGCCTGAAGCGGTATATTTTTAAAAGAGGACTTTTTATATGAGACAATAAAAAAATAACAAGACTACTGTTTCTGTGTATTATTAGAAATAATTATAGTACTTTACCAAGAAAGTGGTAAAAGTGAATGCACAGGTAGTATTTGTATATATTCATAAATATTATGGAATATATGCATATGTCTTTGTGTTTATGCTATACTCATAAATATATCATATATGTATATGTCTGTATGTCTTTGTGCACACACACATACACACAGGTGCACAAAGACAAAAAAGGGACCAGTTATTTTAGGGAACTCTTGAGTCCTTAAGAATTAGTTACAAACTGTATACAATGTATGTTCTTTTCACTCAACTTGCTTTTGGATACCATGATTTTGCTAATTATACTGTTGATAAGGAAGAGGGGAAATTTAAATAGAACCTTTTAAAAACAGATAATCATAGATATATTTGAAGAGAAAATCCGTATTTAAATGGGGCTTTTGAAATAACAAATATGTTCTATTTACCATAATTTATCTTGTCTGCTAGCTCAGGTAATATAGAGTTACTTGTCTTGGAAAGAAGTTTGAGGAAATGAACAATTGACTTGGTTTTATTACATCAGCCTATACTGTGCTTTACATATATCTTTTCCTTAAATCTCTGAACATCCTACTGAATTTTGACAAAAAAATATTGTTTTTTTCTTAATTCAGTAGTGGCCAAGACACTACAAGATATTATTAGACCTAATTAAAAGATAAGAAAACTGAGACCCAGGCTTTTTCATTTTTTTAAATTGCTCACCCTACTTTAAAGTGACTTAAATGTACTACAGCGGTAATATTCTTGGCTCCTAAGCTACAAAATAACACTTTTAAAACGAGACTTAATGACTACAATAGTTGTATAAAGACCAAGGTACAGAGACTGCCATTTCTGGATTTTGAAACCCAGAAGATGGTTGAAATTTAGAGCTGAGATATTTGGATATTAATTAATGGACAGGTGCTAAGAAATAAGTGACTTTATGGAGATAATTCATCTTTTACTTTTCTTTTCTTCTAGCTGCTTGTGGGGGACTTCTTACCAAACTTAACGGCACCATAACCACCCCAGGCTGGCCGAAGGAGTACCCTCCTAATAAAAACTGTGTGTGGCAAGTGATTGCACCAACCCAATACAGAATTTCTGTGAAGTTTGAGTTTTTTGAATTGGAAGGCAATGAGGTAAGTAAGCAATAACTGTAATTTTTAAATCATGTTTTGAAACTCCCTTTAGGCGGCCGGGCACGGTGGCTCACGACTGTAATCCCAGCACTTTGGGAGGCAGAGGCGAGCCGATCATGAGGTCAAGATTGAGGTCATGGTGAAACCCTGTCTCTACTAAAAAAAAAAAAAAATACAAAAATTAGCCGGGCATGGTGGCGCTTACCTGTGATCCCAGCTACTCCGGAGGCTGAGGCAGGAGAATTGCTTGAACCCGGGAGGCGGAGGTTGCAGTGAGCTGAGATTGGCCACTGCACTCCAGCCTGACGCCTGGCAACAGAGCAAGACTCTGTCTCAAAAAAAGAAAAAAAAAAAAAAAAAGAAAAAAGAATGTAGTAAAATAGGATAGACATTGTATTCTTTCTTTGTCCTACTGCTCATTTCTGCAACTGCTTATGAATTTTGTTGGCATTGGATGATGGTTTAGTTTAGACTGTTTCTGGAAGATTGAAAATTACCTAGAGGAAGTTTTTATTTTCTGTATTTAATATTTACTATTTTCTTGATTTATTAAAGAGCTATGGAGTATTTAAGGTCAGCTTCATGTCACATAGACATTTCTAGAAAAAATAAACCAAAATCCTCTGGCTGAGTCATAATAAAAATATCATTTGGAAGAACCTGGCATATTTTACTTATGGAAATGGGCATATTTTCATTATATATGAAGCTTTCATTATAAATGCTCTCATGGTTCATAAAAAAAGATTAATTTTCTAACCTCAACAAAAGATGTATTTAGCTAAAGTTATCTTTTTTTTTTAATACAAGCTGTACCTTATTCTACTAAAGGTACAGTTTTTGTCAGGTGACCACATTTAAACAAGTGACATCATTTATTTGAAAATTCCTGTGTGCTACTGCATACACACACACATCAAATTCAAATGTAATGTCAAGCCTGAAATGGGAACTTTTAGAAAAATGTCCTTTGTGTCAACACTGGTTTAATTCCAGAGGAAAGCTTATAAACATTGGTTTTGTGTAATCTTCTTTACTTTCTCTTCTTTTTTTAACTTCCTTTGCATCCTTTCTCTGAACAACATTTTCGATGTTTATTAAATGAACATAATTTTATCCATCCATAAAATTACCTCACAAAAATTATTTTGTCTTTGATGTTTATCAGTTGGACACTTTTGTCTCTGATGTATATTCGTGGGTTTTATGCCGTAATTTTGCTTTTGTGTATTTATCTTTGCTTCTTCCTTTTTTTACTGCCTACTTTTCGTTCTTTCCTTTTTTTTTTTTTAGATGGAGTCTTGCTCCTTTGCCCAGGCTGGAGTGCAGTGGCGTGATCCTCCATCTCCCAGGTTCAAACAATTATCCCTGCCTCAGCCTTCCAAGTAGCTGGGATTACAGGCGCACACCACCACACTGGGCTAATTTTTGTGTTTTAATAGAGATGGGGCTTCACCATGTTGGCCAGGCTGGTCTTGAACTGCTGACCTCAAGTGATCTGCCCGCCTCAGCCTGCAAAAGTGCCTGGATTACAGGCATGAGCCACCGTGCTTGGCCTCTGATTACTTTTTTCACTCTTAATTTAGCTTGTAGTAACCAAGGAAGTTTTAGGTTTTTACTAGTGGCTTTAAAGTAAAAAGTGGGAGCTGACTGATGTGTCCCCGTAAAGAAAACTAAGGTTTGAAATGTGGTGAACTTACATATTTCAAGGATTTGTAGAATCTCGGAACTCAGTGGGCCTTTTGAGCTTCTTTTTACATTATGCATAAGTTTTTAATGAGAAAGGCTGGTTTATCCTTTTAACATACTTTATCCACATGAAATATAATTTTCTGTTAACTAAAATTTGGAGAAACAGTGAAATAAAGAAAATAATTTTTATATTATTTTTAGAAGGTTTTTTTTTAAGCTACAACTTTTGAAATGGGAATGTCCCACCAATTCTACAATTTGATACGAACTTAATGTTGAATGAGATCTACTCCCATAGTTTTCCCTAAAGCTATGAGTGTGTTGGGTGTGACATTTTGATTCATTAATTGATAGATATTTTTAAGAAGTCTAGAGGTTTGCATTCAGGAGAAAGCAGGGTAGATGGTTTTATATAACTGAGGTGGTGTATTCTGAAAGCATTATTCTCATAGTTATGGTCAACATTCATAGAAGGGCTCTTTACAAGCTGTGTTAACATATCCCTGTTTAATTTATAATGGTGTTACTGTGTAGAAAAACTGTTACAGAAGTCTCTGTATTTTTGTGGTTTGGCATCTTAGCTATTTAAAATAAAAGGCCTGAGCAAAAACGTGACTTACGGAATAGTGGGTTAAGCTTAAAGCTTCATTATTTTCTTCATTATGTTGATATTCCAAAGAAAAGTCAATGACAAACCCTTCAGCCTTGGAAACATTCTTTTATATTATGTTGGAACTCTCCAAACAAAAATTGTAATTGTAACAAAGTTAGTAGAAAAGTTATTTCATTTTCCCTAGCAGCATTTTGCTTATTTATCACCTAATTAATATCACAAGAACCAGTAATTTGAGTTGACATTTCAAAGCACAGATCATGCCCCAGGTTTCAATCATATGCATTGTTAAACATTGCTAATTACACATTTATGTAATAAGGTCATTCATGCAAGATGTGTTCTTGAACATGTGCCCTGCTGGAACTTTAGAAAAGTGTATTATGGAAACATCTGTTAGTGGCCATAAAATGGCTTAAAAATACCTGGCATTCATTTAGCTTCTTCCATTTTGGTGGTGTTAGTAGATTACATATAAATCAGAATGAGGCTATCTTATTTTAGTATAAACTCCTACCTCCTTTGCACTGAATAGAGTTCCTAAGTGTTTGCAGTCCTGCAACAATCCTACAGAGTAACTTCACAGCACTCAGCAACAAAAATAAATTAAGAAATATCAATCCTTCAATAAGTTCAACAGACAATCTTTTTTATTATACATCAAGTATCCATCTTTCTCTTTTAAAGTTACCAATGGTGCTGTTCTCTTTAGAATATGGTGTTTCTGGGGAACAGCACTGGACTAAGCCAAACTCCATGTTGTTAACCACCACATTGCCACGTATGACAAGCATAATTTTGGACAAGCTATATAAAAATTTCTGAACTTCAGTTTTCCCATCTCTACAATGGGAAGGGCTATTTCTTTTGCTAGTAGTTGTTTCACAGGCTAAATGTACCAATTTCATGTAATTGTTGTCAGTATTAAATAAGACAGTACATGACAATTATATTCACAGTTCCTAGTGAAAATTTAAAATATGTTTTAAAAAAGATAGCAACTGTTGCTCTTCTTCTATCAGCACCATCATTTTAAAATATATTAATTTCAGTTCTCTTTATTTTTTTGTATTTTTTGAAAAAGATTTATGCTATGAATATACACAAACATGCATATATTTGTATGTGAAATATATGATACATATATTTATATAAATATATGTAATATATATATCATATATTTCACATACAAATATATGCATGTTAAAACATTTGATACATATATTTATATAAATATATATAATATATAAATATCATATATTTCATATGCAAATATATGCGTGTTTGTGTATATCCATAGCATAAGTCTTTGTGTTTGGAAAATGTAGTCTCATTTTAACAACACTTGTATAAACCTTGAAGATATTCAGAGCAAAATTCTCGAATCTGTCTTTCATGCCTTCTACCTCATAGTGGAATACCTTTTCTTAAAACAAAACAAAAGAAAATAAAACAAAACAAAAAACAGAATCTCACTCTATTGCCCAGGCTGAAGTGCAGTGTCATGATCACAGCTCACACCAGCCTCAACCTGCCAGGCTCAATCTCAGCTTCCCAAGTAGCTAGGACTATGGACACAAGCTACCACACCTGGCTAATTGTTATAGTTTTTGTAGAGATAGGTTTTTGCCATGCTACCCAGGCTGGTCTTGAACTCCTGAGCTGAAGTGATTTGCCTGCCTCTGCCTCTCCAAGTGCTAGGATTACAGGCCTAAGCCACCGTGTCCAGCCTGATTTTTTTCTTTACCTGTTAGTTCCGGTTAGACTACCATAAGAGTAAAATGGGAAAAGCATGATACATTTTTCTAAGATAAATGTCAGTCATCTTGTACTCACAAGTCTGGCAACTGATAACAGCGTTTCTTTCTAGGTTTGCAAATATGATTATGTGGAGATCTGGAGCGGTCTTACCTCTGAGTCTAAATTGCATGGCAAATTCTGTGGTGCTGAAGTGCCTGAAGTGATCACATCCCAATTCAACAGTATGAGAATTGAATTCAAGTCTGACAATACTGTATCCAAGAAGGGCTTCAAAGCACAATTTTTCTCAGGTATGAGTATTCACATGTTGTGTGTTTATATTACAGATTTTCAATGTGGATTGGATTAAATTGTATGTGATCTGTTTTTCATAGTTTTCTGTAAATGCAACTTGAAGGTAAGAAAAAGGCCTTACCACTTTCCATAGGTTTATTAATTTTTTACTTAAAATTAGGATATTAATAATAGGGGCCCTGATGTAATATTGCCTCCAAACAATTAGATCTTATATAAAATCTAATCAAATATTATAAAGGCTAGTGCAAATAATACAAAATAATTATAGTAATATTTTTACACATTGGCTTTACTCTATACAGGTGTATGAGAATAATGATAAAACAAATGGACAGATTTTTCAAAATACTTTTTATTTGTATTTGGAAAATGTAGTCTCATTTTAGCAACAGTTTTATATTCTTTGTATTTTGCAATGTATTTCTTCTTATTTTAATATATTTTCATTATTACTAGGCTAATTAAAATTGTGCTTTGCCTCATCATTATGGAAATGGTTGCAGTAAGAGACCTAGAAATATGGAAATTATAATTTCACTAAATATAATATATTGACAACTGCATTTAATGCTTTGCACTTTTGTATTTGGAATTTAGTATTTAGTTTAAGCAACTCAAAGCAAAATTTCCTTTATAAAGAGCTGAAATTTTATAAAACTCCCCAGACTTTATAGAAATATATCAAAAACCAAGAAATTTTCATTTTTTCTCAATCAGAATTGTGCTTTATAAAAACATTATTTTGAAACTTTCCAAGTAGATAAAATTGTAATAAGCCTTAGTATAGCAATCTATTCTGTTTTTGCAACTAACAACCAATTTAAAGCAGCAAATTCCAATTATGTTTTAATATTAGATAATTTGGATTGAGTTAATTCAAAGGCCATTTATTCTGGTCCTCATGTGTTTAAAAATTAATGAGATTTACGATGTCCAGCCTTTGTTTGGGGTTTTCAGTGTAATTGAAGTTAATGGTTCACAAGCTTCATTGAGTTCCAAGTCATACAGAAAAGTGTCTCTAGAATACAATGGTCCTTGGCTCCCGTGTCCTTATTCCCTTCTTTTTTCCCAGATTAAATAACAATTTATAAATGCTTCTCAGGTATTAATTTAAAATTTATGCTATTCAAAGTACAGTTTAATACTTTAATGAAAATAAGACATTTTTTAGACTTCACTATTTTATTAATATTGTTTTTCTTTTTTTTTTTTTTTTGAGACGAAGTGTCACTCTGTCACCAGGCTGGAGTGCAGTGGCATGATCTCGGCTCACTGCAACCTCCACCTCCCGGGTTCAAGCAATTCTCCTGCCTCAGTCTCCCGAGTAGCTGGGACTACAGGCACACGCCACCATGCCCAGCTAATTTTTGTATTTTTAGTAGAGACTGGGTTTCACCATATTGGCCAGGATGGTCTCTATCTCTTGATCTGCCCGCCTCGGCCTCCCAAAATGCTGGGATTAAAGGAGTGAGAATATTATGTATTTTACCAGGTTTAAGTGATCCGGTGGTTAGGTAGAGATAAGGTCACTTATCGTAGAGCCATCTAAATGTTTATTTTAAAAATTGAAATTATAAAATAAATGAATTTTGTCATAATAATTAAAGTTACTAATGAGTACTGTGTTCACTATTTGGGTGATGGGTTCCATGGAAGCCCCAAGCCCCAACATTATGCAATATACCCAAGTAACAAACTTGCGTGCGCACCACATTAATCTAAAATGATATTTAAAAAGAAAGTATTCAGGATCCTTTTTATGTTACTTTCATCATATATTTAATTTTAAATTTTTTTAAAGAAAAGAAACATGCTACAAATACTGACTACAAAGTATGATTAAATTTAGTTACTCAGAAAATTTTAAATTCCCTTTCTGATACTTTTGGTCAGAAAAAAAAATTCCAAATCATAAAAACAGATTATTCGTGTCCTTAGAAACAGGACTGATGAAACATAAAATATGCTTCCTTAATTCTTTGTAATACACCTCTGAAGCTTTGTGCAGAAGATGCTGTTCTCCACCACATGAGCATATATGGTCTTTAACCTTTTATCTCTGTGGAACTGCGCTTTGTAAAATAACTGAGTACCTTTGTAGTACTTGAGCCAATAACAGCTAATTTCCTATAAATCATATTCATTGATGCAGTCATTTCAGAAAATCATCCATACTTTTATTTATCAGTTCACATATATATATAGATATGTAAATCAATTAACACGACAATATTTGGTTTTCAAAGAATCTAGTCTAGATTGTTTGCTGGAGTACAGTTAACTAAACTGAACAATGAAGTTCATGGAGAAATTAAACCCCAAAGTTTCATCTTATATTGTTATATTTATATATATTTATATGAGAGATGAGGCAGCTGAGGAGTTAAGTAATTGGCTCACTGTCACAGATCATTTATACATAGTATCTCTTGGTCCAAAGACCATTCTCTTAACTATAAGAACTGATCATGACCTTGGCAAATAGCATTAATTTTTTTTCTTATGACCTGGAAAACAATAGCAGATATAATTTTCACTTCTTTATTAGGTAATTGTTTTGAAAATCTAAGTCAATTAATATTAAGTGTACATTTTTGGGGTTCATTTTGTGAATCATTGAAAAGTCTTGGCTATTTGTCAGATCAATATTTAAAATACTGTGGTTCTGGATGAGTGACTAGATCTATTTCACACTTAATTTCCTGGAGTTTCTATTAGCAGGAAAGATGTTTGCTCCAGAAAAGAGAAGGTTAAAAACATGTTTGTAATAAATTGCTGTTGTATTATCTAGAAATGGCAGAAAATGAGAATTTAGGTGAATAAATGTCCTTGTTATGAAGGCATAATTTACAAAAGATTATTCACTTTAATTGATGTCTGTTCACATTGCAAATATTAGAGTTCTAATAATGCTTTCAGTGTGATAACATATAATCATATGTCAAAAGCCAAGTAATTCACTGTAATACATTATTAGAAAGTAAGTATGTAAACTATAAAGATATACTTCACAAACAAAATTGAAGTTTTTTAAAATGTTAAAACTCACTATGGGAGCTTTGATAAAGTGTGTTACTGGGTTTATTGTCACAAATTCTTTAGAAAGAAATTTAGCATAGAAATCAAGTCATTAAAACGACTATTCCATTTGCCCCAGAAATCACATTTGTGGGACTCTTTCATCAAGAAATATCTCAAAATCTGGAAGAAGGATTTCAATGTAATGTGATAGTAACAGAAATTTGGAGCTACCTTATATTGTGACAAGAGATAAATTGTAAATAAGTTATGGCAAATGCACTTTGTGGACCCTTCTGTGCTACAAAGATGGGTCAGTGATTCCATGGTGCAAAATATTGTATGTGGTAAAATATTAATGGAAATCTAGGCATAAAACAGTGTATGCACTATCTATACAGCTAAGCCTGCAGGCTGGAACAAACCTGAAAATTGCCATATAAAAATACCAAGAATGCTTGGTTAGGGTGGAAACGTGACGCATTATGGTTTTCTCCATTTTCTTCTCAGAGTTTTTCTTTAATTTAAATATAAAAATAAATTTAGAAGAAAAAACTCCTATTGTATTTTCACCTATTACTATTACCCAAAGTATTTCTAGTTTGCAAACACTGTCTAATAGACTTTGACCTTCTTTGCAAGTGAAGGAATTTTTAAATTCACCTATGTCTTCATTAGTTAATAAATATTAATACAAGTTAATATTAATACAAGAAGTCTATTGAATTAAATTTCCAAATATTTTAATTATAGGCAATCTAACAAAGATGTTAATATATTATATATATTAATCAAGAAATAGTTTATAGACACACAGTCTTAAATGATTATGTTTATAGCCAGTGTTCTAAAGCTTTCAGAAGTAGTTATGGCTTTATGAAACTTTAACACGGAATATAACAAGTTCAGCTATTTTTTCCACATTCTTTGTCTAAGAACCTCTAAGAATTTTCAATACTAGTAAAAAGTAGTATTTGCTAATAAGTGATTCCATATATTTGGAAAAGAAAGCTATTAAAAATAAAATTCTAGCTTTCTTTTAGTTAAGTGATACATCAAGAAAAAGACAAATATATTTAAGGTTTAACATACCATGAAATAATATATTTACAGTATTATTTTCAACATACCATTGTCTAATAAAATGATTGTATAAGAGATTTTAGCTATTCTTGCACATAGCCTTAGATTTTTAAAACAAACGCCTTTTTAGATTTAAGAAGGAACATTCAAGGGATATCTCTAAGAACTTTTTAGCAGAATAATTCACATCAGTGATTTCTGTCACATCCATGCTCATAAAATTAAGAAACTCTCATCTATCAATTCTGACTAAATATCATAAATGAGTCACAAAAATGCCATAGCTTAAAAATTAATGTCATTGGATTTTATAGCAAAATAATTTATAAGCCACTCTATAAAAATCAGTGTAATATGCTACACTTATTCCAGGGCATATTTAAAGAGCAATATAATGAAGTAATATTAAAGCAAATAAAAAATTAGAAAGCCAATATAAGACCATTTGGACATTATATAGAATTATGTGTGTATTCATTTCTTTTCAGGTAATTCACACGATAGTGGCATAGACATTTTCTAGAAGATATCTAGTCCATCAATAATATATTGTTGTTATTTTCTCAGACTAAATGAGATTTGTTACTAGATTAACAATAATGATTTAGCTTATATGATAGTAAAACCAAACTTAGTTTTATATTATATATTTGAGCACAAGTGTACAAGTCTGCATTGGTATACATGATGCAGTTTACTTAATTTTAAGTGATGAAGTAAAGCTAATAGTATTCCACTCAAAAGAGTTTCTTTTCTTTAAATGAGTTAAGCATAAAGGAAATATTATTCAGACTTTATACTTGAAAAAATAGCACATTTGGGAACTTGACATGCTTTTACAATTTTAATTATAGCATTTATAATTTGGGAATATTATAACAATGACTTTAGGCAATGAGAGTTGAGCATAGGCATTGCGCCTTTTGTAGGCAACTCTGTATTAATGAAAAGATTCAGTTATGACTCTTCAATTCTAAGAACAGAAAATATGAAGAATAATAGCAGTCTCCCTCAGGGAAAAAACTAATAGGAATATGATCTAACTATTGCCAATGAACCCAGGGTCTTGCTCAGTGACAGAAATGAACTAAAACTCGTTTTCTGAATCCCAGCTCATTTCTGCCTGTAACAAATGGAGGATTCACTTAAAATAATTTGTGCATTGCAGTCTTTCTAGCTCTGAAATCAAGTGATTTCAGCTGACATGCTCCTCATCTTATCTTCCTTTCATTGTGCCTCGATATTTGTTTGTAAGTGTTCTTCTTGTCCACCGTTGCTCTCATGGAATGGTTGTTGATATCTGTAGATGAAATTCGACATGATATTACTCTAACAAAACATTAAATGCTACTGTGATTAATTACAAACAGTAACACAACCACAACTTTTTTGTATGATTTAGACTCCTGCGTCCAAGTTTTCAACATTAATGGAGTTTAAATATTTGCATGTTTATGAAAAAAGAAAAGTGTCTCAGTTGTAGCTCTCCTAGTGTTTATGAGTGTTTTTTGGAGGTAATTGCTTACTTGATAGTTTTATGTTGGACCTGTGTGTGCTGTGCATGTGTCCATTTATTTCAGATCCTGAACATTTAATTTGAGAATACCTGCTCCTGTATATTTCTGTTCTGTTGCATGGACCATTGATTTCTTTTTCCTACAGATAAGGAAGCTTTCTGCAAAGAGAAACTTTTTATTTTTGAATCTTGCAAGAACTTGATACAGGTTGCAACTTCAGTTCCATCCAGTATGTATTATTAGACTGATGACCTCTGATAGTCTTAGAGGTTCACTGCAGGCCTCTGATGGAAGAATACCCCTTCACTTTTTCCTAATGATGGGCCTTTTCTTTATCTTACATGAAGGAATGGAAAGCAGACACGTCCATTCCAAAGAAGGGGGCTAATTTCCATCTGCAGAAAATAAATGATTTTATTTTTCCTCAATAAAACATTTATTTCTAGCACTAAGAAAAACTCTTTTGCTTTATTTTGTGTCTAGTGTATGAAAATGCCAGAAAATTTCAAATAAATTATTGATAGAATTTTAAATTATTAAATGTGTTATGCAGGCATTATGAGAAATGTTTAAGTCTCTCTATCCTCCTTCCTTTTCTCTTTCCTCAGATTTCTGCTCTTCGAAACAGAGTTTTTGTCCTAAGAGGAGAAATGGAAAGTGAAAACAGAAGTTAATTATGTTTGCAAATAGTTTTTTCCCAAGTTCCATGACCTTTCATAAATAAGAAATCTACAATATATTTGCAGAATTTATCTTTTATGAAATTGCTATTTCTCATCAACATAAGAAATCCAAAATTACATTCTCTTTAATTAGAATAGTCTATTAACTCCTATTCAAACAAGTGGTTTTAAAACAACCACACCGTATTTACTACTCTGCAGATGAATTAAAATATTTTTCAAAATATAGTGCAAAATACCAAAATTTTTAAATCTTCATGATGTAAAACATCTGAATAATCTTAAGTATTCCAATGATTTCCTGAAATTTTCTGTTTTCATATGACTATTTGACACATGAAGCCACAGTTTTACATGCTACTTTTCAGGATATAATAACTTTCCTCTGCTGCTTTTAGATGCTATTTTGATTAGTTCAGTTTTGAATTTTAGCTAAAATTTAGACTAACTCATAAATATATTTTAGCAACCTGATAAGTTTTCATTTTCATGCGACCTTGATTAAGTTATGCAATACCAGATGTGCAAATGAGGCAGGAAACTGAAAAATTGGGAAAGTAAAAAAAAAAAAACAAAACCCAGATACTTAGAGAATAATGACTATGTAAATAACAATAACAACTCTTCTTCTGTTTGTTTTCCTTCTTTTTCTTTCTCTTCTTTCTTTTCTTCTTCCTCTTCCTCCTCTTCACCTGCTTTCTCTTCTCCCAAAATTATTTTGAAATTATTATTATTATTTTTGAGCACAAAATGAGTATTAATTGTTGGCTACAAAATCATTGAAATACAATTGCTTTTATTTTTAATTTGATCTCTGCTTAGTTACTATTATTATAGGTCAGTTTATTTTTAACAAATCTTGAAACTAATGATACTTTGATATATGAGCAAATGACTTGATCCTTCCACTAGAATGAAGTTTGGATGTTAGGGATATTTTATGTTTTGACATTATTTTTCTTATAAAATGACTGAGAATTTTAACACTCACAGCAATAATTCATGTGTTATTAAATAACACTTGTGTTCACATTTGTATTTTAGCATTTTTGTATCTTTCATGTATGGCAGTCCAAACAGATACAAATAAAATGGTGATTCAGGCCATGTCTGCCTCCACACTGTTCATCTCTGAGCAGTTCATCTGTTTAACAGCCAATTGAAAATGTGAACTAATTTTAAACTATTCTCAAAGGTTTGGTTGACCCAGGGTACAACTAAGCTTCACTCTATCAGGTCTTATATTAAGTGTGCCAAACCACTGTTATATAAACATTTTCATAGGAAATGTGTGTCTATTTCAGAATAATTCTGGCACCAGCATTTTCTTAATTGGTTCCTTCCATTTAACAGAGATATATTCATTCACTCATAAGGAAGCATTTTTCTGAAGCTTCTTAAGGTAAAGAGCCTCTGGAAAGTCAGAATAAAAAAATGAATTTAAGCAATTTACTGTTTAACTATCTGAATCAGAAAATGCAGGCAGCTGACACCATGGTGGTATGAAGTATGGTTTACTGTCTACCTATTCTGTATAAGTCATTCATAATTCATAAACTGTGATTCTCACTGTTGATGCAATTAATGGAATAAGAGTTTAAAATTACACCAAATTTCTCTAAAATTAATTTTACAAATCTAATTTTCTGTTATTTTTTTCTGCATTTCAGTATTTGATGCTCTTTCACAGAATAATTTTGTTTATTCTACTTTTGTTTTGCTTTTTGCTTGGTCTCCATAGTAAGTTTTGAAAGAATAATGGAAGTGTCAAGAATAGGTGGAGAACACATAAATCACAAATATACTAATTATGACATATTCTTTAAAAACTGAGATTGCCTGTGTTTATTTAAAATATTCAAGTATGGCCAATGCATTAATATCACCTGTAAGCATGTGTGTCATGGAATCAATCTTCAAATGTGACAAAATAGATGCATATTTAAAAATTACTATCAGATTATTTGACAAAAATATCTTCCCTAAACCTTTTCCCTTGGAATGAATATTGATTTGATAAAAAAGCAAAAACAGTATACTTTTTATGCCACCAAGAACTTGCTAGTGCTCATTAGAAAAATCAGCGGAGAGTGTACAATTTGAATTCAGCCTAACTTCTCATATGACTATAACATGTCCTTTTTGTTCTCTATGTGTGGGAGTGATGAAAGTCTGAGTGATGTGCCCTCATGCATCTGTGTCAGGAGCAATCTGCCAGTTTTGACATTAATGGACAAGCCAACTATGGAATGACAGTTGAGTGACATAGAGTGATGGTTGATGCCTCACCAAATTGACTGCCTGTTAATCTAGTTTGGCTTTTTTTCCTGTAGTGAATTTTTTTGGCTATTTCATGAGGCTCATATTTCCTAGTCTAATCTTTACTTTACTTTTAGCACACTAAAAGCCCTTTTAGGGGATAACTTTTAATAAACTTCTCTGCCAGAGTAGATTTGTTTAAAATACATAACTTTCATTTCTTCTTGAGAATAGTCTAATTATGCCTTTTTCTGTCTTGGAGTGCTATGAAGTGCCCAGATTCATTAATGCTAAGTATAACTGCAGAGTTAATGGGGAAAAATCAACTACAGTAATTATACTGAGTGATTTTTTAAAGTGATTACATACAAATCTTGGAAACTTGTTTAGCCTCTGTCTGCATACCGTGGTTAATATATTGAAAGATATCCCTCTACTTAAATGCTATTTCTTGTCTCTATTCAAACTATGCACAATGTTTCTTTTATTTTTAAATATTGGCAATAAATGTTTAGGGTTAATTTGAAAAAAGATTTATTGATTCCCTCTTTCTCCTACCCAAAACTTTAACTCCAGTATAGGAATAAAAGAGGATTACAAGTTGTTATCGTAGCGCTAATGGTCTTGGAAACTTGATTCATGGTACAAGCCTTCAAGCTAAACAAGGAAAGGGTAAAACTAAGAGATCATACATTTTTGTTTGTTTTATACTGGGAACAGAAGAAACCATGACTTAGTTTACCCTTTGGCAATGTTAACCTTAGCTAAATGGCTCTCTTTGATATTCTTTGTTTTTAAAGTTACTTAGTAAACTATGGAATTTATCTCTTTGCTAGACAAAGATGAATGCTCTAAGGATAATGGTGGATGTCAGCACGAATGTGTCAACACGATGGGAAGTTACATGTGTCAATGCCGTAGTGGATTTGTGCTGCATGAAAATAAACATGATTGCAAGGAAGGTACGGAAAGGAATACATTTTTCTTGACAACATGTAGAATTTCATGTGGTTTTGTTAAAGCACTGCTCCAAGTAAAGTTAATCATTTCAATGAGTGATATCACACTGGGCTATCTAAATGTCAAAAAATGAAATTCTGTGTAATGTTCAAAGATCCAAGGCAAATTACTGGATCTGGACTTCGCACATAGGTGGCATTAGAGTAGCTTTGAATAACAGACATAGTAGCTGCTAGAATATCATCTGGTAGCCAGAAAAGCACCACATTCTCCCCAGGTCTTTGTGGAATGGACCTTATAACACAATGCATATTTAAACTTAACTTCTGCTAAATGTTTTGCATTTGGTGTAATATTCCTTCCAAAAATATCTTGTATATTTTGTGTATGTGCTACATAAGTGATGCGCCTTTAAATACCAGGAGTATCAAATTCAAATGCCTACCACAGGGAAGACATTTGAAAATGGTAGACATTGTGTCATTTAAAGTTTTAAGTCATGGTTTTGGTCCAGAAAAGCTTAATAGTAGCATAATAATACCCTATCCGACTGTCCTCGAGGCCTTACAAAATTCAAAATGCTTATAAACCAATAATATTAATCCCCTTAGCAACTATGAGCTAAATGGGAACAATAATTAGTTATTCAGCTCTTATTTCTTCCTTTGAGAGTCTGTTCCCGAATTTTCTACCTAAATTGGATTATGCTTGTTTTGAGAAGAGAATTACTAAGGCAAATTTTATAAACGTAGTCATATGTACATTGGAAGGTACCTGACTCTAACCACAGTTAGATAACATTTTTGTGTGTGTGAAAACACTGGAATCATAGAGAATATCTTCAGTTGACCATTGTTCTGTTCAGCTCCTTTCAAATATGGTCACCTGTCAGGTATTTTTTTTTTTCATTGAGTTAATGACACTGTGCAGAATCCTGTACAAACAGAAATTTTTCTTTCTCTACTTTCATGTGAAAGCATAATATCTGTAACTTGGTAAGATACGATATGCTATTAAATCAATAGGTTAGGAAATAGGCCCAGGTTTGTGTGTGTGTGTGTGTGTGTGTGTTGTTTTATTTTTTTAATTTTGAAACAGGGTCTCCCTCTGTCACCCAGGCTGGGGTGCAGTGGGGTGATCTCAGCTCATTGTAGCCTCGATCTCCCAGACTTAAGCAATTCTTCCACCTTGGCCTCCTGAGTAGCTGGGACTACAGGTGCACACCACCACGCCTGGCTGATTTTTTGTATTTTTTGTAGAGATGGGTTTTCCCCATGTTGCCCAGGCTGGTCTCTTAACTCGTGAGCTCAAGCAATCCACCCACCTCAGCCTCCCAAAGTGCTGGGATTGCAGGCATAAGCCACTGCAGTTGGCCCAGGTTTTTGTTTTGTAGACATTGAAGGTAATGCAGAGAAAAAAAGAAGACAGCTTTTATAGATTATACATCTATCCTGTGGATCGCGGGTAGCAAATATGTCTCTGTTCATTACATAAATGATATAGAAAACTTCATTATAGATAAAACAGCATCCAGACATACCACAATAAACTTGTCTTATTGCCAGGAAAGTGGTCAGATCATCTTTTACCTTCACTATAGTACATGTTCCTTGTACAGTTTAGCAACGAGCCTCTCAACCTAGTCTCAGTGTAATTGCCACATCCTGCCCGGTTTACATTTCACATGGCGAGGCAGAGACAGAAACAATGGAATTTAGAAAACCCTTGTCATGACTTGATCCAAACTTTTAAGGCTGTTGTCTTGCTGCCATAATTGTAGATTATTAGACAGGAACTGAATTTTACCTTCCACTTTATTGTGATCTTCTGTTGTAAGTCTCCCTGTAGAAACATAGCACAATTAAGATGAAGGTCTAGTATGAATGAATGCAGCAAAGCAGGCAGCAGCAACTACAGCAAGCACATTAACTAATGGGCATGTTACCCTTGCTGTGTGGCCCTGAAAGGTATAACAGGTTTGTTGTCCATTAATAAAATATTTAACCAAATATATTGCTCAGGAAATTTTAGAAATTTGTATTTTAGAGTGGGATACACAATACATAACAAATAATCCCAGTCTAAACAAGAATGTATGATACAGAGCTTCATAAATTATACAGAAAGAACACAGCTTGAAGATATTAAATATTTTTTAAATTTGACATTAACCGTGTGGAATGATGTTGTCTAAAATTAGGTTATTTTGGCTGTTAAAAAGAAACTCTTAAATAATTATACTGATTGAATGAGGTATCCTTTGAAGTTAGTTCAGAGGCACCTCAAGGGCAGGGCTAGCAGCTGTTCACTTATTTCTCCCTTAGTGCTTCCATTTGCTTTGATGAAATTAGGGCTAATTTATTATAGAAGCTAAAATTGTGATGTAGGTATTCAAGCGTATATTTAACTAAGGGAGAGAGAAAATGTAAATACATGATTTATCAGGTGCCTTAATGATGTTAATTAGCTGTAAATTATGTTTCTTTTAATATAAAAAATAAATGATAATGGCATAGTCCAATGATGTTTGTTTGTGACATTGGATTAAATATTTTGCACACGCCCAGTGTTGATATTCTCTACTGTCAATATATGTTGCACTGTTAAATTCTGAGCTAGACCCATCAGTTTAAAGTGAAAGTTCATTTTCTTTTAGGCATTTATCTGATTTACGGTAAATGCTTAATTTCATATGAGGCAGACAACAAACATTTTCTGATTGTGCTCAGCAACATAGTTTCCAGAGCAGATGAATATGATAATTGGCACTGGAGTGATAATTAGCTGGTATTCAGGAAAGTCTTTCAACAGGGCAGTGGGCAAATAGGCTGCTTTCTGCCTGAAACCTGGGCTGCATTTCCACACTGTCACACTGTCTGATATTATGGTTATTGATGCAGCTGAGTGTGAACAGAAGATCCACAGTCCAACTGGCCTCATCACCAGTCCCAACTGGCCAGACAAGTACCCAAGCAGAAAAGAATGCACGTGGGAAATCAGCGCCACTCCTGGCCACCGAATCAAATTAGTAAGTGAGCACATCCTTTTTCTTTCCACTAAACTGACTGCCCTTGTCTTTCACTACAAGCACTTGGAAATAAAATAAAGGCTTATCTAATTGAATTGAATCATTAGGCAGCTGGAAAAGATTTTTCATCTCATGCTTTTCTACTTGCACTAAAATCCTTGGCTTCGTACATCAGGGTGACTGCCATATTGTTCTCCTATACAGTTTCTTATTCCGGATGTTTTAAAAGGCCTTACCAAAGTTGCTGCAAAACAGGACTTTACTTCCTAATATATTACTGGTAATTATATTTGCAAACTTGGAAAATAAATGAAGGAATGAAAAAATCAGAAATTTGCAAGAAAACAATGGAATAATAATTCACTTAAACCCAGCATAGCATATTCTACTGGTTGCACAAATTCCATGTGTTTTTCATAATAATGTCAATTTTATCTTGTGGTTTATAGAATATTATTTTTGCATAATATATTGCCCTCTGCACAAAGATACTGATATCCTTACATTTCACACACATTTTATTCATCATGAGTTATTCAAATATGAGTATAATATTTGTCTTATCTCTCCTGCATTCTTTGAATTTTGCATTCTGGCCTGCTCATAAATAATAAACTGATAACAAGTGTTAAATTTCATTATAGGCTACAGAGTGCTTGAAGAGTGTAATCTAAAGAAATTAAATATTAATTTAATTAATTTAGAAATGTTAACAATTTCCTGCAACGTTGTTTTCAGAAGCAGAAAGCAGTGCCAGCAAACAAGGGTCAGGAAAGAGTCTAGCATGCACTTTAATAACAAAAGTTGTCTGAGGAGTGAGGCTATCAGTCCAAAGTAGCTCACTGGATCAGTACAATCATAAGCTTAATTTTTAAATTTCTTGTTTTGACTCTTTCCTTCAGTGAATATTATTGGCCAATAAAAAGACCTTATTTATATATAGCTTTATAATAAAATCAGAGACAGTCACCAAGAAATTCATATTCCTAGTATGGAGATCCTTCCAATCTCTATAGTTGTAAATGACTGCCCAGACAGAGACATCAGTTCATTTCAGCCACACTGTTGAAGTATATTAAATGCTGAAATGACAGCACTATAGGAATTTAGTTGCTCTCTAGTCCTGTCCAAGGTACTGATTGAGAGGATAATTCCCTGGACCTTATGGTAACTCCCTGAATCTTATGGGCTGAAATATAGAGGCTGCATTTTTTTCAGGAGAGCTCTTTCCTAAAGGAGTTGGAAAAACTGATTTGACTGAAGACATTTATTTATTTCAATCTAAATTTTGTTGGGTATTATATTCTTTCTCTCTGAATAGCTTATTTTTATATTTTGTATAAAGTATGTGACAGTTTTCTTTCTCCATCTTGAATGCTTGACTCCATTTTTTTCTGAAACTTAGTTTTTCATCCTTCTTTTGTAAATCTTATTTTTATTTATGCGTAAGTCATGATTCCTTTTTTCTATGGCTGCCATTAAAATGTTTTTTTTATCAGCAATTTGAATATAATATATACAGATGTATGTGTTTATGTGTGTGTGTTTCTGTTTAGAGATTTTTTGGTATTTATCCTCCTCAGAATTCTCTGAATTTAGTGCATCTGTATTATGGGGTGTGTCATTAATTTTTGAGAATTCTCAATTGTTATTTCTTCATATAATTATTCTGTGGCACTGTCTTTCTTCTGGTATTCAGATTGCTTATGGGCTAGATTGTTTGCTGTTATCCCTCAACTCTTGGATGTTCAGTTCATTTTTTGCCCTTCTTTTTGAGTTTAAGTTTCAGTAATTTCTATTGACCTATCTTCAAATTCAGTAATTATTTCTTCAGCTGCCTTGAATCTACCAATGAACCTGTTGAAAGCATTCTTTGTCTCTATTATCATGTTCCTTATTTCTAGAATTTACATTTCACTTATTATAGTTTCCATATGTACTAGTCTGTTTGGGCTGCCGTAATGGATTACCACAGACTTATGGCTTAAACAACAGAAATTTATTTTCTTATAGTTTGCAGGCTAGAAGTCCAAGATTAAGGTGCCATGAGGCTTAGTGTCTGGTGAAGCCTCTCTTCCTGGCTTCTATATGGCCTCCTCCTCATGGTGTCTTCACATGGCATTTTCTCTGTGTATACATAGAGAGAGACAGAGCTCCAGTGTCTCTTACTCTTCTTATAAGAACACCAGCCCTATAGGATTAGGGCTGCATTCTTATGGCTTTATTTAACCTTAATTACCTCCCTAAATATATCAGATTGGAGGTTGGGGCTTCAACATTAATTTTTGAAAAACACAATTCAATCCATAACACCATTCTCTGCTGAAATCTCCCATCTGTTCCTGCATATTCTCTACATCTTTACTAGAATCTTTAACTTATCAATGTTAAATTTATCCCCCCTTTAAATTCTGTTTGATATAAACATAGGGGCCACATGCTTGAGTCTGTTCTGTTGATTATTTTGTCTCGTAGCTGCATTGTTTTTATTTTCCTTGCCTTTTTGTGTCTCATGTAATTTTTTAAAATTAAAATCAGACATTATGTGTAAAATAGTAGAGACTTTATGTCTGGAAACAGATGCATCTCTTGTGTTAGGCTATTAGCGTATGAGGAAGGGTGTTAGGTTGATCTAACCAGGAATTAAGCTGAGATTGGGTTTTCTTGTTCTATTATCTTCAGTGCACCAATGGCTTCAAATTCTTTTATCTTAGGATGGAGGCTGAGATTTAACAGGTGCTTCCTCAATGCTTCTATTTCACCCTTACCTTCTCTGTTCATCCCCACCACAAATATTGTTCCTCTCCACACTTTTTTGTCTTCTTCATCAGTGGTAGATGGTAGTTGCTTATTACTTGGTGCTTGCTAGTCTGGTGGTGAAGGCAAGGGGTTCTTTATTATTTCAGTATAGCCTCCACCTTAGGCAGGCCCTGCATGTTTAGGTCTTGTGGTTGAGCTTTCTCAGGGGACCTATTTCTTCTCTTCATGGCAGTGAAACTCTGTCTATATATCTTATGAGTGTTCCATGGGAGAGAGTTTCTTTTCAGGCTCTTAGTGGTAGGAGATCTCCAGTATTACTGGTATAAGATCCTGCATCCAGGACTTCCCCTAGGGGTAGTAGGTTTTGTTTTTGGTTTTATTTTGTTTTGTTTTGACCTTTCCTCTGCCTCCAGTAGGTCTGTAACTTTGTTGTAGAGGTGGCAGGATATTCTGCTTCTCCCTCGGAGGCTTAAGGCTTTGTTTTCTGAAGAAGGATTACAGTAAGGCTTCAGACTTCCCTCACGGCAATGACCACTTTCCTCTTGCAAGCCTGAAACACCAAGGAAGGCATTCATGTGCCTCCTGGTTTTTCCACAAATTTTCTCATGAGCAGGAGATGGGGGTCCATGGAAAAGGATCTGCGAGTGTGCACAAGCTCCCTTCGTATCTGCAGTTTCCATGAGTTCTATCCTCTCCTCCTCATCCACACATGACCTTTACCAATCCATCACTAATTTTATCAGAATGCTTTCTTTTCACCTGGCTGTATGATACCAACATCTCTTCTTGTTGTAGTCTGCCAGTAGCACATCTTTTCTTGGAAAGACCTGACATTCAGTAGATTTCAGACTACTTGGTTCATTTGTGATTTCCATATTTCGGTATGTTCAGCCAACATTGTGATTTTTTTTTTTTACACTTTACATCATGGCTATTTCTTGTTGTGAGGGTAGAAGCAAAACTAGTTCTAGCTTTTTATATCCAAGGGGAAGTGGAACTCCTGATATACCCCTGTTTTAAAAATAGCAATACTCAATCCATTCCCAATTATATATCTTTCAGCTTGAAACATCCCATCTAACTCTAGGGCAATCTGTTCCTTCACAAATTACAGGATTTATTTATTTATTTTTTTGACAATATTCGACTTGAGAATGAGGATATAAAGCATGTCTGTTCAACAATGGTCCTACCTGCTGGTTTCTTAAGCAGGTAATATTCAGAAGCAAAATGAGAGCCTTAATGCAAGTATTAAACTTTATTTTAGGAAACTGAATTTGTGTTTTTTATGGGAGTAGTTACAATGTAAGCCAGGTTTTCTCAAATGCTAGCATGCATCAGAATTACCTGAAAGACTTGTGAAAACACACATCTCTGCCACACCAGAATTTCTGATTCAGAGCATAATATTGATTCCCACCATCCTATCCCATGGATCATGTTCATATAAAACCTGACTCTCAATATCATCTTAAGGGTCAGGGTTAGTAGAAAGTGTGTCACAACAGATTAGCCACCAACTCCAAGTAACATTTTGATTCTATATTTTTTGACTTTTGCTATTTTGACATTATAGTTATTTGTGTTTCCCCTAATTGCCTTTCGGCACATAATGTAACTGTTACCTAGTGTTATCTACTTTAAAACTAAAATCACTGTTATTGTGGATATCAGCCAATACACATTTGGTGAACAATACTTTATACTACCAGTTCAAATCATTCAATCACCTACCCATATACTTTGACATTTATAACACAGGAAATTTCATCAAGATGTTACAGTGTGTAAAATAAAAGCATTTTGCCTGATTTCTTTAGGATCTTTGATTGTTGTTGGGTTTTTGTTGTTGTTGTTGTTATTGTTTATTGGAGATGGAGTCTTACTCTGTCGTCCAGACTGGAGTGTAGTGGTGCAATCTCAGCTCACTGCAACCTCCAACTTCGAAGTTCAAGCAATTCTCCTACCTTAGCCTCCCAAGTAGCTGGGATTACAGGCGTGTGCCACTATGCCTGGCCAATATTTGTATTTTAGTATAGACAAGGTTGTGATCTACCCGCCTCAACCTCCCAAAGTGCTGGGATTATAGATATGAGCCACCATGCCCCGGCTGAACTTTAATTTTTTCTTTTTCTTTTTTTAATTGTACTTTAGGTTCTGGAGTACATGTGCAGATCATGCAGAATTGCTGCATAGGTACATAAATGGCAATGTGGTTTGCTACCTCCATATCTCTGTCA